ACGACTATTTAGTTTCGTAAACTTAACGTACGTACGACGTCGACGTTACCTTACGTCGTAACGTAGACGTCGTCGTCCACTACGGTACGTAACGTACTACTCTCTCTCTCTCTCTCTCTCTCTCTCTCTCTCTCTCTCTCTCTCACACACACACACACACACACAAATGATCAATTGAATCAGAGATAATGCCAAACTTGGGAATGATAACACAAAAAACATCGATTTAGAAGAGTTCTGAAACTGCAAATCAAAAATTTCAACAGGAAAATTTGATTTCAGAAAACTGAGAGAAATTTGGTACTCAAATTTCACATTTTGTAGCTCAGCAAATTGTACAATGTCAATTCCATCAAAAGATTACCAAGTTTCAAACCCTTCCACTATGGTTGTCAACACAGTTGAAAACTCAAAACAAACAGCAATTTCAGGGTTTCTACAGTACAAAGGGTGTTTTGGCCATTGGAATTCCATTCAAAAATTCAAGCAACCAAACACCCACACATATGTAGTAATTGAAAACCATTTTGTGAGAAAATTCAAAAAACAATCTTTTCCAATATTATGAAATTTCTGTCAGCGATATTTGCAGAAGGCATGAGAGAAACTTACAAACTATTCCAAATTACAGTTTTCTTGTCGTTGCATTAAAACATAGTAGTACTCCAATAGCCTAACTGATTTTCATTTTTTTAAATTTTTGAATGACAATTATGATATAACATTCAACTAAGTTGACCTCCCATAAAACAATAAACAAACAAACTACCAACTGGAATTAAAGTGATGATATAAAGGAACTCACCATCCTCAGATAGTCATCAACAAAGCGGCGTGGGTACTCTCGGGTGGCCCCAAAGTCAATGAGATTAATCATTTTTGTGCTCTCATCATAAAGGAAATTGCTCCAGTTTGGATCAGTCTGTACAGCTCAACAATCCATACCAACTTCATAGGAATGTAGATTCTAAAAATAGAAATAAATAACCAATATTTCATGTGGGTGCGTGTTCGTAAAGTAGTGAAGTAGTTAAATATAACTTGCGTTCTTCTATATCATGACATCACAAGCATAGTGTGTAATGAATAGCTATCTGAAACATCAGCACGTACTTTCTGTAAAAGGGTTAAGTGGATATTTACATTTAGTTAGTCCTCATTTCTTGTTAATCTGGCTTTGGAGATGATTTTTCATATATCTGAAACATCAGTGCGTACTTTCTGAATAAGGGTTAAGCGGATATTTACATTCAGTTCGTTCTCATTTCATGTTAATCGGGTTTTGGAGATGATTTTTCATAAGATACAGTCCCTTCCAGGCAATATCTGGAAGCTAAGATAAGATTCTGGGGAAAGGTATTGGATTTAGCAAGGCAAATTCAAGGACTACTACTTCAGAAGCATCATGATTTATATAAATATACGAAATAAACTAGGTGCTTCAAGCTATTCTGTCAATACAACTTCAAAAGTTGTGCTCACAAAACTGCGAATCAAAACTTCAAAACTTCAAAACTATTCGGTAACAGGAATCATTAACATGCTCGGAACGCATCAGGACCTCCTAGAAACATGAACATCGTGAAATCACAAAGAAGGGGAACAACTAAAACAGACCTGCATAAAACGAAATACAAACAACTCGTTCAGGGTGAGCTCTAGCAATTTTTTGCCAACATAATTCCGAATCTCCTGATTTAGACCTGACACCTTGTCAATGGCAACTCCTATTGAAAACCAAAGCAAATATTACTGTGGTCACATAGTAGTCATATTTTGAGAACTACAACGCCATGGAATCATCACTGCCATAATTTTGACCATTCTCTATTGATCATGTTAAATGGCTGTAATAAAGCAAAGGTCATAAGCATATCATTTCCAAAAAGTGGACAGCTGATCAAAGCCAATAAGACAATTTTGAACATGAAAAATAATAGAGTAATCAAAACTTATTCTTTTAAATAACAAATAAGATGTTGGTCGCCGTTTCTTAGGTCTCTTTTGGGTGTGCAACTGCATGTTCACATGTATGTTATTTAATTCAAAATGCTCACAGGTCCCTTGCTCTCGAGTAAATCCATGACTGAACTAGTTTAGGAACATCTCACTAAGATAACTTTTAACATTAAAAAATAATGAGTAATCAAAATCTTATTCTTTTAAATAACAAATAAGATGATATCATCATTTCTTACATTTCTTTTGGGTGTGCAACTGCATGTTGACATTATGTTATTTAATTCAAAATGTTCAGAGACCCCATGCTTTCAAGTGAATCAGGGACTGAACCAGCTTGGGAACCTCTCTATGTTTAATGTTGAATACCAATACAAATTAATTAAAATCATTTACAAACATCACGCACATGCAGCTCTAGACATATACTGAACCCAACAAATGGATCAGATGCTAAATGGATCAAAATTATCCATATAAAAACTGAACAGTGGGAGCAAAAATCAGCTGATTAGTTCATTTCTAGTCTAGTTAATAAACCACAAGCAGATTGCCTGCTATGGATAGGAGACATTGGAAGGTCATGGACCCCAAACAAAATGAACAGATAATGGCTTAAATGTCATGCTTAAAAAAAAAATTTGAGAATATTGGTAAACAACTAAACATGACAATAGAAAGCATTATCTGTTACCAATTTTATTGAATGATACAATATCATGCACGAGTTACAGATTAACCTAAAAGACACTTCCAAGAGCCTCAGATGAAACAATTCAGCCAGCATATGGAAGCATATGAAGGCAAGAATTAAGAGTTTATTGTGGTCCTAAAGACATTCTTTGTGATGCATAATGATTACCTGGAACAAGTTCTGTTGTTAGTACCCTCTTGCTAGAAATATCTTCAATAACCATGGGAACATAAAAGCCTTCTGTATCAGATAAAAGTTCGCGAAAGTGTTTCTGGTTTGCTGCCTCCAGCTCATAGTTACACTCCCGAGACAATTCCTCTTTTGCAACCTGTAGGTTGTGATATTGACCAATCACCAACACTAATAAATCTCAATAGATTTTAAAATTAATGAATTTGGCGCAGAGCACAAAATGTAGAAGTGAACTAGTGACCACAATAGACAATACTTCCTGTTCCCATGTTCAGCAGCCACGAAATCAAATATCAAACCCTTTTCTTCTTTGATAATTAGTCAAATATCACATGCAGTGATAAAAACTCACCCTAGTCAACTTGCCTCTGGACCATGGAGAGTCTCATGGTTTTTCACATTACACGCCTGAGTCCAACAATTTTAGGGTGTTCTACCTCAGACTCTTCTTATTGAAACTTCGCTGAGTCGAGTCAGTATGACTCGGCCCCAGACCCTGGCGAGTCCCAAGCCAATATGACACTTAAACATTCATGTCACTTCTCAAAGTTCCCCTCAAGAAATTATAAATATACAATAACTTTATAAAGTTGGAGACGAGTGCAACAAGATGATAAACCATGTTGTTACCAACGTTATCAGAAGCGGACTGGACCACCCGGTTCAAACCGGGAACCGGTGTCATTTCCAGTTCGGTCCAGCACACAAACCTGGAAAAGGGAGAAAAGTTCTTCTTTAAAAAGAAAAAAGCTGCAGGGGTCTTCGGGTCTTACTAGACTTTAAAAAGGGCAAAAAATGGGAAAAAGATTATTTTATAAAAAATAGATTAACAGAGAGAAAGAAAGCATTATCCTCTCTCTCTCTCCCCCACCCCCGCCCCCCTCACCAAGGGGATTATGGAGAGATTGCCAGCATCAATGCAGCAAGATTCTAGTGAGATTCAAGACAAGAATCAACACCAGACGAGTTTTTTTTTTATTTACTTTTACTTTAGCAAATGCAAAAATAAATGAAAAAATATTTTTTGCCTTCTTGGGTTTAGGAAATTTGGGTTTTAGAAATTTATTAATTTATTTATTTTCCCATTTTTGGTTGCAGTTTTGGGTTATCTTGAAGGGCTTTTACAATTGGTAAAAGCCCCTCAAAATGTAACAGAAAATGTAAAACAAATAAATAAATAAATATTTTTGGAGCTTTTTATTTTTACATTTTTGTTTTTAGTGTTGTATCTAGCAAGGCCTTTTACAATAAAAAATTGTAAAAGACCTCAAAAGGTAATCCAAAGATCCAAAAAAACAATTTTTTTGGAGCAATTTTTTTTTGTACTTTCAGTTTTAAAATTTTAACTTGCAAGAGCTTTTAAATTTTGAAAAAGAGATATAAAGAAATTAACGAAAAATAGCAACACACACACACACCCACATATATATATATATATAGACAACCAGTCCTGTTCGGCCGGTCTTACTGGTCACCAGTCACCGGTCGGTACTAACATCGGTTGTTACAAAAGGCTCTGCAACTTGGTTTGTAATAGACAAACTTCAAGGGTCAGGTACAGCACTTGACCTCCCCATGCAAACTGTATCTTTTACTCTGGATCTCTTACTAGTAGACCGTGGCCTAGGGGACCTAAACTGGAATTTATTGAGAGTTACAAAGTGCCCTTAGTGGAGCATGAGTTCTATGGGCCCTCCCTTCCCCCTCCCTCCCTCCCCAATAGGCAGCGGTTTCAAAATGGCTACATCAATGAGCATGCCATCTCTTGGAGCAGCATGGCAAGTGGCAGGGACACGTTTAACAGCATGCATCCACAGAGAGAGAGAAGAGAGAGAGAGAGAGAGAGAGAGAAGAGGGGGCAGGGAGGGGGGGTGCTATCCTGGGAGGAACCACCTGCTACAGAGGGAAGAGGAGTGTTGGGAGCACCAATGGTCTCTGGTCATTGTACGTGTGCAAGAGGAGAGAGGAGTGGGTGGTTGAGGCCAGTTGCAGCAAGGAGGTTTTATGTCCAAAGGATTTCATAGCAAACATGAGAAAAGGAAAGGACTAAACCAATGATACAGATGACAACATTTTTTTACACCTCCTGGTATGCTGGTTTCTAGACCAGTTGCATACCAGTTTTTTCTTGAAATAAATATGCAAAAACACAGTTATTACCTTCATAGCCCTGTCAAGAAAAAGTCCCCTTGGGATAAGATTTGTATAATCAAGAAGCCGTCTCACATTCTCAATATCACTTTCAATGCTATCAGCAACACCAGGGTACTGAATTTTCATTGCAACCTCCATATTGTTCTCTGTGACAGCTCGGTGAACCTAAGGAAAACTTGCGTCTGCACTGTGAGATTGATATAGGAGCAACTAAATGCCATCTAAACTTATTTTTACAAAGATTAAATAAATTTGTCAGGGAAAGATCAATGATAAATATGTAAAGATGACAAATAAGCAAAAAGTTGACCACACAAAATCACCTGGCCAATACTAGCAGCAGCCATTGGCTCATAATCAAAACTCTTTAGCTTTGATGACCAATCGGGACCTAATTCACTGGCTAATACTTGGTCAAGCTGACTCCTTGGCATGACATCAGCACCTTGTCGAACAATGTCCAGTGCAGCCAAAATCTACATATTTGCAAGTGGTAATAAGAAATATGGGTGAAAAGACATCCAGAAAATCCAAAAAGAATAAGATGTCAAGAATAATATTTCGTAAGGGGTGACATCTCAAAGGCCTTCAGGAGAAAGAAGCATCTCCAACTGTTACTCAAGCACCATTATCGAGATCAATCAGCATTGTGAAATGTCTAACAACAAACTAATAAAACCATACACCATAGTTTCTACTTTCCAGTCAGAACAATCCCGCATTTTATCTTGTAAGGGACCAAGTTGTGTTTATATCCTCTCCTACCCTTTGAACATATAACATATTCAGACAACTTGCATGGAAACCTTCAGTGTCCCAACAACGAAAGACCATATAGCAATAAGAATACAAATACTGTGAATGATAGGATGGTATCCAAATTGTTTCATGTGCGGCACAGTATGTAGAAAACTACCATAGCAGCATTGCTCTTATAATACATCTATGTTCAGTACAGTAATTCTATGCCATTTAAGTTTGGTTACAGTAATACAGTACTACATCTATTGTTTTTTGACAATAGTAATACATCTATGTTCCTATGGTAAATCTTTATACAAAGCTACAATGAATGGTGCATTTTCAGAGGACATAATAAACTAGGCATAGATTATCTATTGGCTTGAGTAAACAACCAGCAAAAGTTTGATAATCCATTTCAGTAAAATCATAATCAACTGGATGCATCAAGTAATGATCTTCAACTCTGTAGCCCCTGCCATGCATTAAATCGTCCAAGGGAATGTACGGAAAGTGGATGCAAAAATTACCATTGTGTTAAGTCATGTATAAAATCACATTACTAGAAACTAGAAAGGATAACCTAATGAGCTAATAAGTACAGATTCCAATTTGATTTGTGAACTATCAACAAAAAACTACTTTCGAACAAACTTTAACATAAAAAGTAGTCTGCCAGAGATTGGAAGTTTTCATAGTTTTCAAAAGTTAATTACATTTCCCAAAACCATTAAATGCCATGGTGTATTTCATAGTTTTTGAAAGTCAGTTACGTCTTATAAATTCCCAAAAGCATGAAATGCCATGGTGTATCTTGTGGACTGGCATTATTACATCAACATCATCCAACAAAATGTGTACCTATTTGATGATACACATCTCAAGTATTGAGGTGCACACCACAAATATGCCAATGCGATCCATCACCATTTACCATGTTTCCACCAGGAAAAAAAAAGAAAAGAACATAGGAAGTATCAAGACCAAAAGCAGGTATCAATGTGAAACGGTTAACATGCTGGCACTATGGCCTAAAACATGTCCCCAAGCAACCAGTAACACAAAAACAGATATAAGCAATCAGGTTGACCAAAATTAGAATTTTTTTTTCTTTTTTAGTTCAAGTGTGATCATTTAGAGTACAACTTCAGCAGCATCACACTATAACAATCAAAACAAAATCTCATCATATGTTTGTGTTTTGTAAATTTTTTTGAACTATTACATTTCCTTGTAGAGAATAGAATGTGTTCTTCACATACTAGCATAACACTAACAAAGTCAAATAGAGAAGAGAAGCAATATAAATAAGGAACACAGAGATTAGTATACCGGAGCTGGTACTAAGGTTTCATCTTGAATGCTCAACATCTGCCCAAGTTTGAGTGCTGCTCCACGCATTCTACACAAAGCAAGGGCCAAACGTTCCGCATTTTGTTCAGACAGGAGAGGAGAGGGGGGACTTTGCCCTTGTGAATTTGATGTTCCAAAGACGAGTCTCTTTGCAGATTCTTGTATTGTACCCCATGCAAGTCCTGCCCCCAGTCCAGCAAACCTTCAGTAGTTACAAAAACATATTTATATATTAAAAGGAACTCCAAGACAGAACAAGATATTTTCTCACGTCACAAAAAAGAAATACTGCGTTGAGGACATACAGTTTGTCACTACAAACTAAAGTTTGAAGCAGTAGAATAATCCAATACAGATGTTTTCAGCAAATATAACTCTCAATTGCCTTTAAGATATTCCATTAAGTTGGAGTACAACTTACATGTCAGTACTTCATTTACATAAGAATTCATGGATCATACTCGTTTTAAATATTAAGTAATTGAATTTATTCATTATTGATTGCCATCCTATAGCACACCTCCATTCAAACGAGTATGATCCATGAATTCTTATGCAAATGACAATAACTATAACAATTTGGCATATGAAATAGGTAGAACAATTGTCAACACAAGATTAGTACCTATTGCCTAACTAGGTTAGCCTGTAAATAACTTTGCCTAATTTATTTTTGCAGAAAGCACCACTTTCTTTGAGGAATTTGAAAGATCCTGGCACAACAACAAAAAAGTCAACAACCAGACATAACTATCTGACAAATTTACAAAGGGCCATTAAAAGAGAATACTATTTTGGTGATAGGAAACCAGAAACACATTCAAGGATTTTAAAACTGTGATGTTGCTTTTCCAAAAACACAAAGGATACGCAACAAAGTAGCCTACTTTGGTGTGTACTGGTTATTACGAAGCACAGTGTAAAACATTGAGAAATGAATCGAACTCAAATTAAGTATTCACAATTTGATCTCAAGATATAATATAATTTAGTAAGACCTCCCTTTATGCAACAGTACCTAGAGTAAGGCAGGAATTCTTATAGAAATTAGAGTATTCTTTGTAGAGTAGCAAATTAGATTATATACATATTAAAATAAAACCAACTAATGTTCACTCACTCAGCCATAACATCAAGTCAGATACTCAGAAAATCAAATCTCAAACAGAAGCAAAGTTCTAAATGTCAAACCATGTTGAGCTAATCCACAGGTAATACTCAAGAAGAGTAAGCTCAGTGATCAGTAAGTGCATTTCCCAAGCCATTGTATGACCCCACCCTCTACCTCAACCCAACAGGATCAGCTCTTTGCGTTAATAGGATCAAGATAGCACGCTACCTACCCATCCTTCCAGTCGATTCCAAATCTGCCGTTGTTTCATGATAACATGTCATTTTCTATTAAATGACAACCAATACTACATCTTCTTCCATTTGTCCTCCACCTTAAAATATAAGAAGCCAAACACCCTTGACACTACCCTCACCTTACCTCAGCTCCCATCAAAGAACACCATCTGAGGCCACTGCCACTCCCACTACCAGCAACATTTAAAACTCAGGCCCTTAAGTTCAAACCATTGGAAGCACTCCCAAGAACACCCTCCATCCTATATTGACACATAACTCCAATAATCTGTCGTTCCATCATCCCCAACCCTCACATTTTCTGCAAAGGCCAAACCTCAAGGAACCCTCCATGATCAAGAATTAGAGACTGTCTTGTACCCATCTACCAAACAATACACCCCACTTTTGTTGCTTCTTTCGCCTCATTGGATCGACCCTCCAACCCTGCATGCTTGTTAAGCCCCAGTCAAATTCAATGATCTTTAATGGATGCCAACACAACCACAGAGAACATCGAGAAATTTGAATCTTATGGAACATATGGAGATAACTCTATAAGGATGAACACTTTCCCTAGAATGCATATGCTAAGGGTGCAAAGGAAAAACCTGTTGGATTTGAAGTCCACCCCTTGTGGGTGCAAGGACCTCCATGGAATTTTTAATATTCTTAGTGGTTAAAAGAGAGAAGCGAATCCATGGTATTGTCAAACTTGTTCATGGTAGAGAGAAAGAAAAGGGAATCCTATGTTGTATGGATTTTAGTGACAACGAGGGATCAGCATTGAGCCCATACCTCTTTGTCTTAGTTATGGACAACTTAACTGGGCACTGTCAAGATCAGGTACCGTGGTGTATGTTGTTCGCGGATGACAATCTTGATCAATAAGACCCAAAACGGTGTCAACACAAAGTTAAAACTTTGGAGGGATGCTATAGAATTTAAAGGTTTTAAAATTAGCAAGACTAAGACAGAGTATATAGAATACAAGTTTAGTAATAACAAAAGTAGTGATGAGGAAGTAGTTAAGATTGACGGCCAAAAAATACCAAAAAGACTGCACTTTCAATATCTTGGGTCGATAATCCAGTAAAGTTGAGAGATTGAGGAAGATGTCGCACATAAAATTAGAGCTCGGTGCATGCTGTGGAGATGTGCAACCGGTGTTTTATGTGGTCGCCGCATACCAATGAAACTGAAGGGCAGGTTCTATAGGACAACTGTGAGACCAGCTTTACTTTATGTCGCAGAATGTTTGGGCAGTCAAGATACAACATGCCCATAGAATGAGTGTAGCTGAGATGAGGATATTGAGATGGATGAGTGGCAAACAAGAAGAGATAGAATTCGAAATAAATACATTTGAGAGAATTTAAGTGTGGCACCAATAGGCAATAAGATGAGAGAAAGTAGACTTAGGTGAGAACGTGCATGTTAGTTCAAATGGAAGGCTAAAAAAGGGCAAAGGGTAGGCCCAAAAGGACATGATTGGAAGTAGAGAAAAAAAGTATAAGAACTTATGGCCTCACTAAGGGCCCTTAATAAGCAGAATGGCGAATCAAGATTTGTGTAGCTGACCCCAATTAGTTGGGAAAAGACTTTGATGATGATGATAATATTATTATGGATTTCTAATTGACGATAAAGTTGGCTAGAGGGAATTATCCAAAATGAGAAGGCAACAACTCTTATGAATAAGATTCTCTCATGGGGCACTCCTATATAATAGGGTCAAGTGAGAGGAAAAAGTAGAAAACTATCATGGGATTTTTGTGCTTTTCAAAAAGATTTTCTCTCTATACTTGAAGCCGTCCCTTTTGTCTCCTCATAATTTTCTCTCTCTAGAAACCCTAGGAGAGGAAAACCCATATTAGTGATTCAAGAACTCTCAAGCCTTCAAAGGCTCAGGATTTGCACTATGTATTCTATATTTTTAGTTCTCATAATATAAAATCAGACTGAGGTTGCGAGCATCAAACTCCAGACGTGGAGGAGCCGCACGCAAAAAGAAGAGAAAGATTGCAAATTGCATCAATAGCAAAAGGGAAATTGGATTCGAAAAAGATAAGTAACCTCTATTCAATCCTTATGTTTTTGGTTTTCGCCATGTTGGGATTCGCCCAATGAATCCAACATTGGCATCAAAGCCCTTTTGATGGAGATTCTCCTTTCGAATCTAATAGCCCATGTGGTTGGTATGCATAGAAAAGAAAAAAAAAAAAGCCTATTTTATTGAGAGTTTTTTGGCCTATTTTTCAGTTTTTTTGGGGGCTTCAGTAAAAATTGGCCTTTTCGAGCATGGTATGGACCGTGGAGGAGTTGGGGGATGCACGGCGCAAAACACACACAAAACAGGTATAAAACAGGCCTTGGGCATGTGTAGGTGCATCCTACACTGCGTGGTCCCTTGTTGTAGTCCCCTAGGTGCACCTGCTGGACCGCTAACCTTTTATTCTTTCGTCTAGCACGACCAAAACTCTCCAATGATCCCGCAGACCACCTCAAGGAGGTGGTCCCGTAGGGCCACATAAAGTAGTGGTCTAGCATGTACTAACACGTGTGAGGGCCACACATGTGCACTGACACATGTGGGTCCATACTTGCGTGGTCACAAATGTGACCGCATGTGCAGTGCTCCGTGAGGCTGCACAGCTCTACTTTGTGGTTGCAACCGCACTCTTTTTTTGTGTGGTTGGAGCTGCACATTTTTTGCGTTCAGTTGTGGCAGCACGGTGGTTATGTGCTGCCATAGTTGTATGGTAGTGTATGCAGCCGCGACTGCATGCATTTTAAGTCCGACAGCAACTGCATGATGAATGTTTGTGGTTGTGGCTTCACAGTGACTACATGCAGCCTCAACTTAAAGTGACCTTGTGCAACCTCATTGTTGGGCCCGAAACTCCCAGAGGGCATAACTTTGTTGAAAAGTCAGTTTTAGACATATCATATATGTTTTTGCGGCAGCTCGTGAAGTAAAACGCAACCATCAGGTCCCATCTGCAAATTACACTTCTATAACCCTTGTTTTGACCCAAAAAGTTTCGGATTTACTTTTTTTTACGCCCATTATATGCCATCTATACCAATAATGTGTAGGCACTCTAATTGTGTGTCACTTTGGACAATGACTATAATTAGTTGGGGCCAAATACTGGGATTTTATATCTAGGATGCAAAGAGCCAAAGACTCACTTGATGACAAGGATCAAAAATTCTTAATCCTAATCATTGTTTTAAAATGTGGGCGCATCATGCAGTATGCGCCAAGAAACGCATTGCAAAACAGCGCATATGCGCTTTGGTGCGGATGCCCCACATCCCATCGCATATGTGCTGCATCAGCATGACGAAAAAAAAAAAAAACCCTCAAAAAGGGTATTTAGGTAAATCCCCCTCCCCCCCCCCAAAAAAAAAGGGGGGGGGGGGTGAAGGGTTCGGAGGGGTACGCAACCACCCAGAACAGCAAAAACAGCCACTTTCATGTCATCAAATCGATTAAAAAAAAACATAATGGCAGAAAGTTTTTTTGATGTTGAGCTAGCCGCAGGGGCTAATGAAGACGTATGGCCTAACACTAGAACAAAAAGAGTAAAAGCTCGGTCCAATCACATGTCCATTTCAGAGGACAAGGACGAGCATGAGGCCGACTTTGAGGAGACCGAGGAAGAAGAAGAATATGTGGAGGCCTCCAAGTATGTTATTGATGATGATGGTGCATATGGAGACTCTCTAGATAACTAGTCTAATAAAGATTTGAGATTTAGACTTAAGAAATGATGATGATTGTCTTTACCAGTGGTTTAAAAAACGGATCAGTGCCTCGACTCGAGCACTCCAAAAGCCATCCAAATC